GCAAAGTACCTCATGTATATGCTGCCTCAGCCTGTGGTATCCATATGTTCTACAGAAGTTTTGAAATTCTCTACTCATTATACCTGAGAACATTGATCACATTTAACGTGGAGATATTTTATTTATTGCTTTTTCTGTGGAGCTCAACATCTCTACCAGAGTGAATTGCTTTAAGCCTGATCTCTCTGGATGGGTGACATACTCTCCCCATTGTATGGAGACCTATGTGGGATGCCCACTGGAGGTAGCTTCATTTCTCACTTTCCATGTGAACAGGAACCAAAAGTGGAGGCCTGTTCTTCAGATTATGAACTCACTGTTCAGCCTATTAGACTATGACTTGATTTTTCTGGATATACAAATATTTTAAATTATAAATAATCTTTTATACTACAAGTTATAAAGCCTCACCCATATCCTTTGTAAGTTGCACAGATACAAGATCAAAGATCTTTGATTGGTCAGTTAGCTATAGAAAGCTAGGCATTTACTAATCTTTTAAGAATGGAAGTAAGTGTTGTGTCTGAAAGAGAAGCTGTTTCTTTTTTTTTTCTTTTTTGGAGAGGTTTTTTTGTTTGTTTGTTTGTTTGTTTTTTTGCTATAGGGCGTGTGCACTTGCCAGAAAAACAGAGAGGGACACAGAGACAGAAAGCGAGAAATCACCCCCCAGAGGGGGTGGCCACGCTGCAATCTCTTCTCCTCCATTCTCCTCTTGGTATCTTGGGCATGCACACACCCTTGCCCAGTGTGAGTTTAAGCCACCGTATCTGGGACTCAAATGATGGATGGGCTTTTACGCTTTGTCAAGACACAGTTCCTCTGGAGTGGAGATGTCCAATTCATTTAAAGTTGGCCTAAGTTCCTGGATGACATAGGGGTAGATTTCCTTATGTGGTCCTGCTTTGTCCTTAACAACCTCTAGGATGCGAACCGCACTGGCAAAATCATTTAACCGTCTGCACGCTGGCAAGACAGCATCAATGATTTTGGGTTCTGGAACCATATCATACCCAAATAGCGTGTTCATCTATTTAGGCAATTCCCAGGCAGCTATGTCTGGCTTGTTGAATTACCTCACCCAGCGAGCATTAAATTCCTCATCTGCTTCATGTGACCCATGGAAGTAGCAGCGACCTTCCTGGATAGCCGCAGGGGGCCTAGGGATCAGAGCACAGTGCAGGAGGCTCTGAGGGTGGGCCTGGGTGGCTGTAGCCAGGGCACAGCAGTGGAGAGCAGCACCCAGCATGAGGGCGATGGTGGTACCCAGGCTGAGGCTAAACAGAAGCTGGCTCTCCCTGAAGTATTCTTTAAAGCTGGTTTAGAAATGCGTGGTAGAAGGGCCAGAAATGATCCATTTGGGACCAGCAGACAGCATAAATGGTTGTATTGCTGGACTCCCACAAAGTGGACCACAGTTCGAGACCTGGACTCAGTAGCTTAAAACTTATGCCAGGTGCATGTGCCTGCATGCCCGAAATCCTTAGAGGAGAAGGGAGGAGATGGGATTGTGAAATTCAAAAGGGATTGAGAAGTTAAATAACAAATTGAGAGATTTCATAGTACTTTACGTAGTGTGTTAAGAGTATTAATTTAAATAACGTGGATAAGTACTTAGTGCAGTTCTTGGACATTTAAAAATTCAATAAATCATTTATTGTTGTTGTCATTATTGACATTTTAATACAAGATAAGAACATTGTGACTCTAACTTGCCCAAGACTACATAGCTGACAAGTAATCCAGCATAACTTTGAATACAGATTGTCAAATTTAAAAGATGGAAAGAAATGTAACATATGCAATGAACTTGATTAATATAATATCTAGTATACAGAAATTATTATTATTAAAATGACATATAAGATATACTATTACTCTAAATAGACATAACATTTCTAAAGGCTATTTGCTAAGTCCTAACTTCTTATATGCTGTGACTTTCCCACCTCCTACTCCCTCCTACATCAACTCTTTCTCAGTAAATTCATATGTACCTCTCAATTATCTTCAAAATTATTTTCCAAACAACAGCAAGAAAATTGTGCAAAGACCACATTATTTTACATTTTGGTTAATTTCCTTAATATCTGACTTAAGACAGTGAATACCAGACACACACACACACACACACACACACACAGAGAGAGAGAGAGAGAGAGAGAGAGAGAGAGAGAGAGAGAAAGCCACCAGATCCAGGACTTGAACCATGGTTGGCCACATGGGAGTATCCAGCACTTTACCATGCCACCTGCTGGTCCCCTCACATATGAATTTTTCAGAACTTCTGGAAAATTCTATTGAACACTCCTAACTCTGAGAATGAAAAAAGCAAATAACATCTTCATATTATTATAAGAAAAGTATTGACCTTGAAGACCCTCAGATCCCACAATGATATTGGGAGAATCTGCTGGGTTAGAGTATGTTATTTTGTTAATGATTTAACTTTCCAGATTGCTTTTTTCTTTCTTTTAATTGCCAGAGGGTGCCTGCACTTGTGAACATGAGAGAGAGAGAGAATGAGAGAGAGAGAAATATCCACCCCATCCCACACCATGGGACTTGGTCACACCACAATCCCTTTCCTACATTTTTTCTAGTCCATCAGAATTTTGGGCATATAGGCATACTCAATCTGTTGAGTGATATTCCAACCACATTTGTCCAGTGGTATCAGGCTCTCCATACACAGTGTTTAACTGCTGCGCTAAGGGGTTGGCCCCATCACTTTTTTTTTTCTTTTGATAACCAGAAGTGATTAGTATAAGACAGGCAGTTCTACCCTCTGTGACTGAGAGGGGTTTATCAATCTCTTTCCTTCTTTTCTTTTCTTTTCCTTTCCTTTCCTTTCCTTTCCTTTCCTTTCCTTTCCTTTCCTTTCCTTTCCCTTTCTTTCTTTCTTTCTTTTCTTTCTTTTCTTTCTTTTCTTTCTCTTTCTTTCTTTTTTAAAAGATTTTAGCCATAGGTGCCTGAGCTTTCCAAAGAAAGAGAGAAGGAAAGTGACAGATCATCCCCCAGTGGTGGGTGGCCACATCGCAATTCCATCTCTTCCATTCTCCTCTCAGGATCCTATGTATGCACCAACACCTGCCCAGCATGATTTTCAGTCTGAGGGTTTTGGACTCAAACTGTGCTAGGCCACATGAGAGTCCAACACCTTAACTACCACATCACCTGCTGGCTGCTATTAACCATTTTTTCTTTCTTTTTTCTTTTTTTTTTTTTTGAGAGATTTTTGCTATAGGGTGTATGCGCTCACCAGAGATACAGAGACATAGAGACAGAAAGCGAGAAATCACCCCCCAGGGGGGATGGTCACGCCACAATCCCTTCTCCTCCATTCTCCTCTCGGGATCTTGGGCACGCACGCACACGCGCCCGGTGTGAGTTTTAAGCCACCGGGTCCGACACGAACCACAGTTGACTATGTGGGAGTCCAGCGACATAGCCATTACGCTAACTGCTGGTTCCCACCATTTTTTCTTTTGAAGTTTACTTATTTCATGACCGAGAGAGCAAGTAATCCTAATAGATCCTAATCCTAATAGATCATGGTCTCCATTCCATGATCACCCCTGGTCTTCAGTGAGTCTTTTGTTTTGTGGGCACACATGCTTTGCCCACTCAGGGAGGTTTCTGAACTTGAACCAGGAACCTTCCTATGTGGGATTGCCTGGCAGAGCCACCCTCACCAACCTATTTAATGGTTATATTTTCTTCACTTTTTCAATGATTACCTACTGAATTAATGCATTATAAGTGCCAAGAGGGTGATTATCAGCAGTAGGTCTCATGAAATCCATCATAGCCTGGGATAGCCCGTACCTGGGACTATCTAGGGAATTCAAAGACAACAGTGCCACATCTTCTGTCCTGAGTTGCAAAATTTATGGAGTAATAAAGAATAAACTCACCAACCAAGATAAACAATATTTTAATACAACTTTTTTTTTGAGAGAGATTTTTGCTATAGGGTGTGTGCACTCACCAGAGAGACAGAAAGCGAGAAATCACTCCCCAGAGGACATGGCCATACCACAGTCCCTTCTCCATTTTCCTCCTGGGATTTTGGTCACGCAGGCACATGCGCCAGCGGGAGTTTTTAGGCAGCTGGGTCTGGGGCTCAAACCGGGGTGGACTATGTGGGAGTGCAGCCCTGTAACCATTATGCCATCTGCTGATTCCAATATAACACTTATTTACTTATTTATTTTCTTTTTTTGGAGAGGTTTTTGTTATAGGGCACTTGTACTCGCCAGAAAGAGAGAGACAGAGAGACAGAAGGCGAGGAATCATCCCTCAGTGGGGATGGCCACACTGCAATCCCTTCTCCTCCATTCTCCTCTCCGGATCTTGGGCACGCACGCACACGCGCCCGGCATGAGTTTAAGTCACCGGGTCCGGGACTCCAACTGAGTCCAGCGACATAGCCATTACGCCAACTACTGGTCCCAAATACAACATTTTTTGAAAGCTAGTAGGTAATGTACAAATTTTGGTGGGCCTGTTCTCATAAAGTTTGATCACTAATAACTCTCGAAGAACTCCCCGAATCTTCGCACCAGTCACTCAAAAGAAAGGCCTCAGGCAGACGCTATCAACAGCGACCCGCAGGGGACGCCCGAAGGCTGACTGGAAGACGCGCGGCGGGAGACTAACTCCAGGTGCGCCTCAGTCGACTTGCACTTCCTCCGGCGGCCCTTATCCCCGCCCACTCCACCCGGTCGGCTCTGATTGGCTGGGCTGCAGCACGTTCGCGCTGCCATTGGCCCGGGGTCAGTCGAGGTGGGTGGAGGAAGCCCTACCTCAGCGGGTCCTGGCTGGACAGTCATTGAGGTCGGCAGTTGCGGTGTGCGGACGTTCTGTGGTGGGAGCGGCCGGCGTGGCGCCGCTCTAGGTACGTTGGGGCCGGGCGAGAGCTGCGCGTTAGCGACGGTTGCCCGGGCTTCGGCTTCGTGGGCGCCGTGCGTTCTCTGAGGACAGCCGCGGAGGCCCGGGGACCTGAGGTGGTTGCGGCCAGGCGGGCTGCCTGACTGAAAAGCGTCAGCTGAGGCGCCGGGGCTCCGACCGGACGGGGAAGACGCTCGCGAGGGGCGAACGGACGCGTGTTTACAGCTCTCAGAACGGGGCGCAGGCCAAGGGGGAGTGATGTGCGAACCCCGGGTGAGGCGGTTCACGGAGGGTGGGACTGTGGAGGGAAGTGGCCGCTTTTCCTTTTTCTTGGGTAATGTTTCCTTTTCTTTTTTTCTTTTTTGGCAAGTAAGTGAAAGCTTTGGGCGTTATCCGGGATGCTTTTACATGTGAACGGAAAAAAATTTAGTCTCCACCCCCAACCTTTGTTTCCCATTGCCAAATTTGAGTAGTTTTTTCATTAACTGAAGAAACCTGGTACCAAAACAGCTGAGTCCCACCACGCGACTTTGATATAGGTTATTATGAAGTCGGCCCCACAACATTCTGGGCGATATGCTGAAATAGCGTTTTTAAGGAAGGCACCTGGAGGACAAATATTTAATGTAAATACTTAATTGAACCCACAAGGATGCTATGATTTAGTGATGAAAGCTTTAGCGTAGTTTATTTTTTATGAATATCTTTTTTAAAAATACTAGTAATTCCCTGCTTATCGCTCCTTTCCCCACCTACTTTCTCCAGTTTGGCTAGCAAATTCAAGAATCTGTGTAAACGGGGAAGGCAATCATTATTTTGCCTTGTTTCCCTGGGAGCGGGGGTGATTTCTCTGCTTTCTGCCTCTCTAGTGAGTGCTCGTGCCCTATAGCAAAAATCTCTCAAAACCAAACAAATGGGGAAGAATATTAAAGATGATTATATTACAGGAAAGCTATTAAAAATATGAAAATGAAACATCTGAGTGAAGGACTAGTATACTGATTTTAACTTTTGTGAAGTATACCTTTATTCTTAGCTTGTTCATCCCTCAATTTAAGAAATGTTGACTCTTACCTTAATCAAACTAATTTATATAACGCTCAGTCTTAGCTGCAGATAAGTACATGCCACATCCTGAGTGACTTCTGCCTCAACATAACTGTGTAACAATGATTTGTATTTTTTAAGTACTGATGGGTGTATCGATACATCTTGAATTTTCTGCTCTGCTTACTGTGCTGGACCTGTACTTCATCTTATCCTTCAATTCCAATGTATTTGCAGCCTACATCTTGAAGTCTGGTACAATACTACTGCATTATCCCTGCGTCTTTGCGCATGTATCATAATTTTCTTATCATGGATGTATACAGATGCACTTTAGTTGATGTATGGTATAGGGAACAATTGTTAAAAATAAAAATAAATAATAACTTTAAGTGCACAAGATTATTCTCTTTGCGATAATAACAAATAAAAAGAACAATTTTTTTTAAAGTAATTTAATTCTTCCATGACTAAGAGAAAGATGGAGAGAGAGAGAAAGAACTCCCATCATTGTCCCAATATTGTAATTCATCCTCAACCTTTGGCCAGCCCCAGATCATGGGCACACAGTGCCCAGCGTACTTAGGGAGGTCTCCAGATTTGAACAAGGAAACTTCATTTGTGGAATTGCCTTGCATAGCAATGTGTTTTACCACTGTGCAACCATCTGGCCTGTAGAAACGTAGTCTTTATAATTCTGTGTCATATTCTCAGGTCATTTAGATACTTTACTCTGCTGACTGAGGCTTATTTAAATCTGGACCCTGTACTTTTAAAGTAAAATATATTCACAATATATATTCACAATAGATTCTGGTAACTTTTTACCCTTTATCTTTACCATTGGGTGAGATAGATGGTAGTCAGGCAGTATCTACAGAGAAATGATGACTTTCGGAAGAGAGGGGAAATAAAAAAATAATTTGAATCTTTGAATGCTTAATTAAGTTTTTAGGTATCATAAGAGATGTTGGGGACCAGCAGTTAGTGTAATGGCTATGTCGCTGGACTCCCACGTAGTCGACCGCGGTTCGCGTCCTGGACCCGGTGGCTTAAAATTCACGTCAGGCACGTGTGCGTGCGTGCCCAAGATCCCGAGAGGAGAATGGAGGAGAAGGGAATGCGGCATGACCTTCCTCCCTGGGGGGTGATTTCTCGCTTTCTGCCTTTCTGTCTGTCTCTGTCTGTCTGGCGAGCGCACGCGCCCTATAGCGAAAACCTCTCCAAAAAAAAAAAAAAAAAGAGATGTTTATATAGGTCTTATTAAGTTTAACCATTACGTATGATTTTTCTAAAAATTTACCAGAAGGCTCATGTACTCGCTGGAAGACAGAGAAAACAATCCCCCATAGGGAATGGTCATACTGCAATCCCTTCTCGTGGTTGTCACTTCTTTAAGGATATTGGGCATATACACATATGTACCTGGCATGATTTTTAAGCTTCTGGATATGTGTGAGCAAGACTTGGAATTGCGAGGTTGGCCATGTGGGATACAACCACTTTAACCACCATACTACCAGCTGACCCACCATTAATTACATAGAGATAGTATATCTACTAATTGTGGTAATTTCCATTGGCATACCTCTTGAGGTTCTGTATATAATGCTGCTGATGTGAAATATTTTGATATAGCTGTCATAAGTTGTTGAGGCCATTCTGATGATTATTAAGGAGGAAATAAACGGTACTTTTCTAGAGGTGTTTTTATTTTGTCTTTTTTTTTTTTTTTTGAGAAGTTTTTGCTTTAGGCCGCCTGGCCTGCCCAGAAAGAGACAGAGAGATAGAAAGCGAGAAATTACCCCCCAGGGGAGATGTTCACACCACAGTCCCTTCTCCATTCTCTCCTCAGGATCTTAGGCACGCACACACAAGCGCCCAGCGTGAGTTTAAGCCACCGTGTCCAGGACTCAGACCGCAGTCGGCTACATGAGAGTTCAGCAACATAACCATTACGCCAACGGCTGGTCCCTTGTTTTGTCTTTTAAGCTTGTTTTGTCTATAAAAGAGAGAGAAAGACAACCCAATGGGGTCTTCATGTCACAGTATACCATCAGCCTCAAGTCAGCCAGAATCATGGGCATGTGTTCACACACAGGGTATACACATGGAAACCTTGAAAAGAGAACCCAGGACATTTTATGTGGCTTTGGCATCATAGAACATTGTGTTACTGCTGTGCTACTATGGCTGACCTCTAGTAGTTCTTTTTATTTTTTTTTTCAAGAATTATTTCACTTTATTATTTTTAAAATATGCGATAGGGCATGCATGAGAGAGAGAGAAAGAGAGTGAGCAAGCAAGCTGCCAGGTCTGGGACTCAAACCATGGTCTGCCATGTGGGAGTCCAGCACCTTCACCACCATGCCACCTGCTGGTCCCTAGTAGTTCATTCTTATAAATGAATATTTATTAAACAGTATTTCTTGCGGCCTGCAGGTGGTGTGGTGGTTAAAGGCGCTGAACTCCCACATGGCCAACTGTGGTTCAAGTCCCGGACTTGGTGGCTTGCCTACTCACTTTCCTTCTCTCTCTGTCTCTTAATGATCAAACAAGAAAATAATAATAAAGTTTAAATAAAATAGTTCTTAAGAAAAGCAGTATTTCTGAAAGCTTTTATGTGAAAGTATTTCAGTGAAGATACAAAAATAAGATGCATCGCTACCCTCAAAGCTCATGACTCCCAAGTATTTATTTGTAATGGCTAATTCAGATAAGGAAGTAGTTGAAGGAAGACTTTCTTGAAGAGGTGATCTTTAGAGTTTACCTCAAAGGAGTGGAGAATGGTGGGGTGTGTGTATGAGAAAAAGTAAACATAAAAGTTTACAAGAAAGTTAGGTTGATAGCTCCCCAAAAGTAAAATGATATGGGAGAAAGATAATGTGATACTCTTATTTAGTCAACTTAAGCATTGATTGAACTGAAAATGTGATGAGCTGAAAAATGTAAATGGAGTGTAGGAAAATGCTAACCTTCAAGTCTGGTGGCTAAAAACATGCAAGATGCATGTACATGTGTGCATGCACTCCCTAAATCACAATAAGATAGAGAATTGGAGGAAAAGGTAATTGCAGTGTGACCATATTCCGCATTATAGGAAATTGAGAGACACTGCTAAAATTTGTAACTCACCAATGCTGGTATGACTATATTATTTAAAAATACTAAGGTAAAATCATGATAAAGTCACCTGGTGTGATTTTTCAAGCCACTGGGTCCATAACTCAAACTGTGGTTGGCCATGTGGGTATCCATCACCTTAACCACTATGCCACCTATGCTAGCCCCTATAATTTATTAGATTTAATAAGTGAATTTAATGAATCACTTGGCAGTAGTCTCAATAAAAAACACAGGTTATATTCCTGTATAATAGTTATTTTTTGTTTTGTTTTAAGAGAGGTTTTTGCTACAGAGTATATGTGCTTGCCAGAGAGAAGAGAGACAGGAAGTGAGAAATCACCCCCTGGGAGGATGCCCTAGTTGCAATCCCTTCTCTAGTCTCCTCTCAGGATTTTGGGCATGTATGCATATGCGACTGGTATGGATGTCAAGTCACTGGGTCCGGGACTTGAAACATGGTCAACTACATGGGACTTGAGCGACGTAACTGTTATACCATCCCCTGGTCTCAGTAGTTTTGTTTTTGTTTTTTTCTCCTAAACAGTACATATGCTCTCCAGAGAATGAGAGAGGGAGAGGAACAAGCACCTCCCCCATGGGGAATGGTGACATTACTGTCCCCTCTCTTCTATCTTTCCCTCCTTTCTGGATTTTAGGCATACATGTACATGTTCCTGCAGTGTTTCTCAAGCTGTTGGGTGTGGGACTCAATCCACGCGGCCAGCCATGTGCAATCTGCCTGCCTTAATTCTACTAGGTCATGCACCTGGCCCCAAAGATTTTTCTTTTTAAGTTATTTTTTTCCATGAACAAAAGAGAGAAAAGTAAAGACAGAGATAAGCAGTACCAACAAGATCTTGATGCTGTAATCCATACCCAGCTTTAACTGGCCTTGGGTCATGGGCATACTCAGGTCTCCAGATGCAAACCCAGAAACTTCGATGTATGTTAAACTTCTAAGCTGTTGAGTTTTACTGTTGTGCCAATCCTGCTGTAAGAGATGAAGTTTTTAAATGATATTTACAGGGACCTGCAGTTACCATAATGGCTATGTTGCAGGACTCCCACGTAGTCGACTGCAGTTCGCGTCCCAGACCCAG